TTTGATTAAAGCAGTAAAGATAAAAAGTGGTTTATGTTTGATTTTCAAATACATTTGCAATGAAGTATAAAAATTATGAACAATGGGATATGATAGTCTGTTTTATACAAACCGGGGAATATGTAGAAGCTGCTAACACTTTGTATCACAAGAGGTATAGTTCAAATAAACGATATAGTGCAACTTACCTTCCAACAGTTCCCTTTTAATAATATAGTTAGGGAGCTAACTAATTTTGTTATTCAATAATCATTTCTGAGTATGTAAGAATCACAATAACTATATTATATATATAGGTGTACTTACTCACGACAATCACGACACTGAAAAGTGTCATTATTGTTCGAGTTTGAAAGCCGTGGATTTTTGGAATTTCTTCCTGACGTTTCGCTGGCGCGAGTAGCTAGCTTCTTCGCAGGTTTAACCATCATGGCTTGCTGTCCGATGACTAACTTTTAGGCTTCGTAAAGCGTATTTATGCCTTGTCAGGTAATCAGTAGTATTCGTACCTGTACTTGTCCCTGCACTTGTACCTGTACTTGAACCTAGAACATTAACAATCTTGCTGACTGGTGTCATTGTGTTCGTTATTCTCAAATTCCTTAAAATGGGGTTCCATATTCGGTTGAGGTCCACCGCTTCTTCTTTTCTGTTGACATTCTCCGTGTGTTTGTGGATCTCTATTGCCTCCCGTACCAGTCGGTTATAGTATCCCTGGTTGGGAGCAATTAGTTCTGTGTTTTCGAACAAGATTGTGTGGTCTCCTTCACTAAGTGCGTGTTTTGCCACAGTTGACTTGTCCGCTTGGCCTAGTCTGCAGTTTCTTTTATGCTTTTTTAGTCTCGTTCCCATGGATCGTTTGGTGGTTCCGATATATACCTTCCCACAAGTGTACGGTATGCGATAGACCCCTGTTTTCAAAGAACCAAACTTGAGATGTAGATTCTTATATACATTGAAACGTACTCTCTGTGTTTCAATATTCAAATGCATCCGAATCTTATTCACTGGTATCTCTTTTTCGCATTGTTTACCAGCGCTATTGGAATCACTACACAGGAAAAAGTATGCGTTGTTTTTACACTCGTTATTACTATTAGTACTTGTTCCAGGACCCCACATTTCAAACAGATAACAAAAATTTCAAGTAATTATAACTGCACCAATATTGAATTTCAACACTCAAATCTCGATCAGTTCCTGAACTGAACATTGACAACACGACGGCTCGCATTCTATTCGTCATCGTAACATGACTTCACAATTCAATTTTATGACCCTTCAGCCAATCATAAAACTCGGTTAGTAAAAATCATCCAATGCGAACCACCAATTCTTCAGTACACATGAACTAGCTAGCAGCGGCTTTATCTCTTTATATTAGTTTTTTTAGCCTATGAGGGCGCCCATAAGTTTAAGTATTCACAATAAAGACTACTTCGACTATACCCGGAGAGAAGACAACCTTTTAGAGACATTTTCGCAAGATTGCCACCCAACATAATTGATGATTGTTAATTCGAAGAGAAAAGCTCAAAATTATAAGAGTCACATAGGGATAAGGAGTAGTCGTTTCAAGAGCTGTTGAATATAATCCCGAAACGTCAACGCGAAATTTGAAAATATTTTGAAAAACACAAATTCAAGCCATAGAGGACCAGAAGAGTTCATCAACTCGAACAGGAGATTTTAAACGCCGCATGGCTCTTTGCCAGTGGTTCCTGGAAAGTTGTAACCAAGTGCATGATTTTTCGTTAAATTGTATTTGGACGCAGAAGAAACGTATGTGAGCAGTGCCGACATTTTCAACCACTAAAGTTCTTATACTTGGGCAAAACAAAATTCTCATTCCATTATGGAGCAGAGAAGTCATAGAACATTTGGATTTAGTGTGTGGGTAGGTGTTTTCAGGGGTAGAATTATCAGCCCTTTAATTTATAATGGCACTCTCACATCTCAATGATATTTAGAAATTTAAGGCAAAATGTTGAATCCCTTGTTGATGAATCTCCACTAATGGATTTTACTTGTAGGTTATTTCACTATCATTTCATTTCAGGTTTATTGTTGCTCAATATAATTGTTATTTTCAACTATTCTTTTTTAATTATTCTTTTTTACTTGTTTCAGGGATTTCAAATTATTTTATATAGTAGACAATGGAAGTCCGAACTAGTGAAATTCATCACGAAACATTGTCGTTCAGAGAAGATGTCGCCTGTGTATAGGAGAAGCTGGTAGATATTTCGAACACATTCTCGGAAGGAATATATTTCATTGTTCTTTATCATTATCATTATTGATAGTTTCATTTATTAGTAGTATATGTAGTTCAGATTTTTAGCAGTTTTATTGAAACTATGCGTTTTATACACTGCTGTGAAAAGCTTTCTCAACATTTGATAGCTACTACTGAACAATTTCTTTCTGTTTTATCGCCGTGTCGTCCACAGCCTACTTGATAAAAGTGTGCATTTCAAAGTCTACATGAAAAAACCTAAAAACTTTGTATTTCAAATATGACTCTAGCAAAACATTAAGTTTGCTACATTTTTGGGAAGGTAATTTTAAGTTTATTGAAATATGCAGGAATATACAGAGTATGTCATTAAAAAATAGTTTTTTAACAATGACTATTGATATCTCATTTGAAAAAATAAGTTTTTTAACCATTGAATTCTACGTAAAAAAGTGCTTCGGAAATATTTTCATAGAAACAGTGAATTTCTGATGGGAAAGAGTAACTTCCAAAATGAACATTTTCGAAAAACATGCTGTAACTCGGTAACGATGATAGATATCGATATGCGGTTTTCACCATTTAGTTTGTCATAAAATTTGGCTTTGAGACAAAGCCATCCATTTTCATCCATCAAGTAGGAAATTTGAAGCCTCAGTTCAAACTCAGTGTCACTGGTCCAGTCAAACCGTCAGTTGTTTGTATCTAAATTAGGTTCAAATGAAGATCATTGTTTGAAATATATTTGTTTTAGTAAATTGAATCCAATTTAAGTGTAGTTTTGTTTTTTTGAGAGCATTTTATCCTTGTCGTACAAATACCGTTATCTAGAGAAAGGAGAAATCCACTTTTTTCATGTAAAATCGTTATTCAACTTTCAAAATTTGTGAAAAAATTTCTCTAAACTGACAATAAAGAATATTCAATTGTTTTGATAACAACCATCAGTTCATTTACGAAACAGTTACATACAATTTGGCAACAATAAAAAATAATGTTCATTTGATAAGTTTGAAGTAAAACACCAATAAATCCGTTTTGTACGCTTAAAGGCTTGATTGGGCTTACTCAAATGATACGAATTGCTTCGTTAGCATATGACTTTCAATGAAACGAATCAGTTTCCTGGAGGCCAATTTGTTCATATCGAAGAGTATCCATGTCATCCCTTTATGAAACTCGAATCTTTTTTCGGACAGAGATTGGCACTCGAAAGAAAATGCTCTTCATTTTCAGTGATACATTCGTAGTGACGGAAAAATCACAGTTCTATCTACGTTTCTTACTGAGATTACTCTCCGTAACTGATGAATTGAAAAAGTATCGATATCAAAAAGGAACCAATACAATATAATTGTATTATACAATATAATATAATAGTATTGGTTCCTTTATTCGATAAAGTATCATATTTTTTGTTGGCTTCAGTTCCTTTATAATCTGCTTGTCTGACTGTCTGGTTTTTTAATGTGTTGATTAGAATGAAGAACAGTCAAAAATAATTTCATGCTTTATAATATACAAAACATACTCTCTATCGTTAAATCTTTCCCAAATACGAAAAGTGACACAGCCAACAATAGCAAAATCATGAATCGCTTCGAAAAATTAAATTTCATTCAGTACTTGAAGTCGTCAGTTTCGTTATTATCAGTAGTTAAAATTTTGAGTCACACATTGAAATTTTTGAAAATTATAAATTCAAAATAGTACGTATTGAGCGTTACATATTTCCAGAGTTTCTTTAGACATATTTATAATTTTTATGAAAGATCATTTTTATAAAAGGAAAGTTGATAAATTTGATGATTCGCGGTCAGGCTGACCTTCATTTATGAATTTCTCAATATTTTACCGACATGATTGGTTGATATCTTCAAAATTACAAAGGGTATTTTTTTTTTCACTAGTGACTACCTAGTCACTAGTGGAAATTAATAAATTGAATGGGGTTTTCACGGACAGACTGACGAAGGTCAGTCTGGCCGTTTCGAATTAGTTTCCGAATATTTTAACGACATGAATGGTTGGCATTCTTTAAAAAACAAAGAGTTATTTTTTTGACTACCTACTCTCTACTGAAACCCCGCCAAATAATTAACCAACTGAAAATAATCATCATCCAACTTCAGGGGTATTAATTTAATCACAGAGGACGAAAATCCAACTGAAAACCTCTCTTGTCTGTGAAACGTTGAACAACGGACGGTTGTCAATCCCAATAAAAACAATTGGTTTTGTTCATAACTGTGTCAGTAATATATTCCATTGTTGTTCAAAATGTTCTGGTCTGAATCAAAAATTAATTAACACCAGGTAAAAACCAGAAAACTTTTATTTAGAAGCTAACTTGAACGAACAATTTGTTTTTTATGTAATTTACAATTATTGTCTATTGAAAACCAGTATTAACTTTCGTAAATGATCTACGTATTGGTGTCCTTGATTATTTAAAGAAATTTGATAATTTTCACGAATAATATATATGGTTTGTTTTAAAAAGAATCCCTCTGAAACGTTAATCAAACTCAAAGTTCAAAAATAATCAATATTTTGCATGTTCATCTTCCCCTTTTCATGCATTCCTTCCCAATATGTCGCATGCTAGCTTTGTCCGTGTCGCTTAGCACCGCACTATTCTTCCTCTTAACAGTAAAAAAATTATGAAAATCTTTTACTGACTATCTCTATTTAAGTCGTTCTTCTGGAAACTAGCGAGCCACGCTTTTCTCTACTACCTTGTGTTCTTCGCTTTTTCTAGATCTTGCAGAATCTTCAAAAAAAGCGAACAGAACGGAGGGGGCGCCTCAGTTCGGACCTCAACAAGTTTAAAAGCACCAAAAGCAATCTCATCTTTAAGGTAACCCGCTTCGGACTTGCTTGGCATTGCGCATGCCCGTACCGCGGCGCCTCTGCTTTCCGCATTACAAAAAACTAGATGGATTATGGACCTTCGTTTGGAAAAGTTATTTAAATGATTTGTTCGAGATGTGAAAATTAATAAAAAATTTGTTCTACGCTACACGATGCTACTTCTCACTATAAATACGTACAAGTAAAAAAACATGTAAGATGAAAAAGGTTTGACAAATTGAGAGTTTTCATTTGCTGGCTCTTTGAATATTTTCTCACGTTTGGAAAAATATTCAGGGATACCTGTTACAGGATTTATTACATAGTTCACTATTTACAACTATCGATCTGAAAACATCACTGTCAATGTTAGATATTACAACTAAAATTTGTTTTTAGATAGTTATGTTTCAAACTGAACTTTCATATTGTACCTCAGTAAGTTGACAGTTCTCAAGTTGCAGTATCTGGGTATTTCGATCCAAATTGACCCATTATATTTTCAAATAAAGCGCTTCAATGTGGCTTAAATAAGCCATAATGGATATTATACAAAATGTTTATCAGTCTTCGAATAATGCAAAAAACTGTTAGACTCATTATCCTCAACATTTCTGTTGTTTAATAATGTCTCTTCAAAAAGAACAAAAATTCAGTATTGGGTTATTGGACAATAAAATAGTCTCTACATCTTCGCTAACGTTTCTGTTTCTTCAGAACTGTAATAAATACTAGATGTATTTTATTTGTTTTATTGATCAATACCTGATATACATTTTGTCCCAGCTGAAACTTGTTACCCAATAATCTGCGAACTCGTGGAAAAAATTAAAAATCGCTCACACCCGTCTATTTTCATTTCAAGAGGGAACACTTTCACTAAATACAACTGCAACACCGACCCCTTCATTTCTCATAGCCTTCCCTCGTTCATGTTTTTTATTCAGCACAGATCCCGACTCCATGAACTTATTCATCAATTGAATCACGTACTGATATGATGTGTTTTTTTCTAAATGAATTTCGTTGAAAATTCACCCGTAGCTCAAGCACATCGTATATTTTCAAAATACGCAGCTACAATGGATATTCTGTTTTTTATAGTATAAACCATTTTCGAAAGTTATCAGATTGTTGAATGAAGTGAATCGAATACATCAATATACCAAGGCTTAAACAAAGATTTGCGTATACAAAAACACATTGCGACAATTTTTGTTTCATGAAAACGTCTATCTCACCTTCTAAACTATTATTTCTGAAAGCATATTATTTTTCAATGCAGTGGCGTACACACAGTGAACCTTTCTTAAGTTGATAATATTTTAGGTGATAAAAATAAAAATACCTTGATAAAACTAGTTTTCATCAAAACTTCAGCAGCAGTTGAACGATCCTCAATTTCAGTATACCGATGTATTTGGGATTGAATTCCCGTCAAAATAATGTATCACAAGTATAGTAGTTCCATTGAAAATTCTGAAGTAGGGGGTGCTGGAGATGAGGGGGTTGACAACACAATGATGATGTATTCGGTGAAAGTGTTCCCCTTGAAATAAAAATCGATGGGTCTGAGCGATTTTCAATTTTTTTCACGAGTTCGCAGATTAGGGGGGTGACAAGTTTTAGCAGGGACACGCTGTACGTATTGAAAAATATAATTGCTAAACACATTCACAGGTGAAATCAAATATATTACTCTTCTGGCGATGACAAACATGTTCACCATATTCCACCGGATATCTTGTAAATTTGAATGCAAAGTAAAGCACTAGGTTTCTCTAAGGAATTAAAAGAAGTAAATACTATCATTTCTGAGACTTTTCCTTGGAATAACTTTTTTTATTTGGGGAGAGTCGGAAATTTTACCTTTTTCAAAAGACGTATCATTGAATACAATTTAGAATAGTATGACCTGTTTGTTATCTAGGCATGTAATCATTTCTCACTGAGAGTACAGTTATAAAACTAGTCATAGGGAAGTATAGGTAATTATCAACACTATATCATGTTTCAGTACTGTTTTACTATCTATTATTCATGATATTAAGTTTGTTTTCATAATCATATTGAATATAATTTGAAATGTCTATGTCCCTTAATGAAGGTTTATAAGGTTTTTAAGATAATCTAGGAGTTATTCTTATAAATGTCTATTTTTTCAAAGTAGTATCGTTCTTTTTTTATTTTGAATAAAATCCCTGCATCGTTTCTCAGTTTGTTGAAAGTTTACCACATATTTTCTTAATATCTCTAGCGTTCACATATGATTTGTAGGTTCTATCTCGTTCTTCATTATCAAACCAGGTAATGGTCATACTGTAATGCAATTATACAAATTTGTCATTATATTTGAACATGTTTCAACAATTCCATTGTCCACATTAATGGTGTTCAAGAACCAATCATATAATTACTTCGTTTTCTTCAAGATTCCGATAGGTCCATTGAAATTTCTATATTTTCTGGTTAACTTGTGTTAATACAATTTATTGAAAAAAAAGTTAACTGAAATAACTCCATGATCAGTAATTTTAGGGGTTGAATGTATCTGCGATTGTTTTTTGATTGAGGTATGTTTAGTTATGTCATGTTTTATTTTTATCATATAAACACTGTTTTCTAAACAATTTAGATTGAAATTATCCATCAGCGGGAATAGCATACACACCCAAATAACCAAACTGATGATTTGAAATATACCTTCAAGTAATTCATGTTTTATAAACAGAAAAGTCGAAGTTTTTATTCATATACCTATATACAGTCTAATTCAAATTCGACCCCCACCATTGGGATCTCCTAAACTACAGGAAATACGTCGAAGTTCAAATTGAGGCAAAGTTGCGTTTCTTTTGTGCCTAACAAAATACTGTTTTGAAATTCAGAAAATTCGAAGTATCTTCGGAAATATCTGAAAAGAACTGAAAATAGGATTTTTTTGTTTTTATTTTTTTTTTCTAGCGTTATTTGACAATATAGCTCAAAACCAAAAACACATTTTTGTTGATAGTTTTTTCAGCTACACGTTCTCGTATTCTAATATATAATGGACGCCATGTTGTTATTAATTTTGTACAAACACTTCAGTCGGAATGTTATTCTCAAATGAAGAAAAACGAGATATGTTGAAACTTCAATATAAATTTTATAGGAATAGTACGAAAAAAGAACAAATTTATTTTGAATTATATTTGTAAACAGCCGGATAAAAGATTATTCGCAATTTTGGACAAACATTTGGCTGAGTACGGTGCGTTTTAAAAACCAAGAATGAAGTGTGGAAGCAGAATGGAACAAAAAATGGATGGATGGAATGGAGAAAAACTTATAAGCCGAGGTAAAATAATTGTTCTTTCCATATTCGAAAAAGTATGATTATTTTTGGTACTTTTTTAAATAAATGCAGATCCTTCCAAATAACTATAGACCAGTCACTTTGCTAATAGTGATATCAAAAATCATGAAGAAAGCCATATACCATATCCTTAGTGATTTGAATACCCATATGGAGTTTTCGAATTCCTGTTGAAGAAGCTACTGTGTTAACGAAACATGTGATATATTTCTGAAATAAAGTTTGTGGAGATCAAATTACTATGGATCTTCATCAAGTAACGGCCGAATCAATCAGAACAATATTCCTATCAAATTTATAATAAAGTTTCAGCATATATTGTTTTTCTCCATTTGAGAATGAGAACATTTCGACTGAAGTATTTGTGCATACTTATGATGTTTGATGAGTTCTGACAACTAGTGTTCATTAAACAAAATTTTTCGATGGAGTCTTGATCATCTCAGATGCAGTTGTTTTTTAAAACCTGTGGTTTCAAAAGAGCAAATCAACAAATTATACATCAATGGAATCAAAATGAGAAGCACTATTTTTTTGTATAACTTTGCCCCAATTTAAGCTTCGACGTATCTCCTGTAGTTTAGGAGATCCCAATAATGGGGGTCGAATTTGAATCACCCTGTATCATTACCACCAATGTATCGGCTTTTGGAGTCATATACATATACAAAAATAAATGTCAAATTTAAAAAAGTCTGTAATTGTTCTGATTTCACTTAATGAAATAATGTTTGTATTGGAGTAATCTTAATTTCCTGATTTTGTCTTCGTCTTTCAAAAATTCTTTGAACACTAAGGTATATAGTGTCACCATTCAGTTGTGAACAAGGCTCCATGTTAGGGATTGTAATTCGTTTTTTCTCTCAAAATGAATATTTTCTCTTTCACAATTATAAGTTTTATTATTTATTACTTGATTGTCTCAGAAAATCATCGACTGCTATCAATTCATTCAAATTAGCTTTTATTTTTCGTAAATAGAACTGGTGTTTGATCTCAGGAAATTGAAACACTAGGTTTCATATTACTATTTTTGTGAACTCTCCTGGCATTATCTTGAGATTTCAAAATTACTTCCATGGGTCAGTTCTTTTCCTCTCTATACATGCTGATTCTCTTACGTAGACGAATTTAATTTTTGTATCCTCTAAGATACTTTCTATTAGGGGTATCACTCCAAGTTCTTTCACATTGGGTTCTAGTTTCAATTGAGAATAATAATTTTAGAAGCTCGATTCTGCCTATAAATTATTTCAGATATAACGTGTCTTCACATATACCTCCTGGTTCATATCAAACTAGGTCTTATTTTTAGTTAATTCAACAGTATTCTCCTTGTATTAAGCATTTTCTCACTTTCATCATTACAGAAACCATATGCTGTAGTGTTGTCCGCTTCAAGATCTTCCTTATTACGTTTGCTATATATAAGTCATCTTTCCCATATTAAAAAAAGAATTCGAACACATAACGTCACTGCTATATGGATTTTTTTACGATAACGGATTTTTGTCCGTGTTCATTAGCCGATACATAGTTTTTTAGCTTGGTTATTTGCATTATAATTTACTTGACTTGTATCACTATTTGACAAAAATAGTGTTGGGTTACATAGTCACAGAATGTAGCTTCATGGCAGTTGTATCTTGAAACCTACTATTTGCAGGTTTGCATTTGTATTCTAACTATATAATTTAGTGAAAGTGACTTCAAATATGTATTTAATTTTGTATTCATGGATCATAACAACGGATTTTCTAACAGAGGGTTTTCCACCGAAGATTTAATCTAGCTGTTTCCTTAGGATCGCACCATTTTTTTTTCTTACTTTTCACATCATGTTGGAAATCATCGTTGGTGTAAGTAAGAATTATTGATTAACTTTTTTGGAAATGTCGGAAAGTGGAGATAGAAAGTATACATTAGCAAGTCAGCAATGATATTGAATATTCTTCATGGAGCACATCCTGCCGAAAACATATTTTCCTTGGCATCTATAATGGGGTGATAGGAAAAGTCGAATTCTCTATTGGCTTTCTATAAGTTTGTTCACTTTTGCATCCTCATCTATTTGTTTTTTTAAATGAGAGAATAAGATACCTAATTCAACTTTTTTTATATTTATGAGATGACATCGGTTTTTATGATTAGGTTAACTCAAAAGTCTGACAAACACATGTCAAATGTTTTTTATTCATTTCACATCATTTTTGGTACTCCTTCGTTTTCAATAAAAATAACTCTTGATGGATAGTATAAATGAAATACTGTCAGTGTTTTGCTTGTGAACTATTTCATAACATTGTCATCATGAAAAAGTAATATAAGAAATTTTGCAGGGAGGTCGACTAACCAGGAATTCATTGTTGTGTTTGATTGTGTCTTCATAATATTTCAAATGAAAAACTTGTAGAATTTCAAAAACATTCATTATCATATCTATGATGAGCAGGCACTATTCAAGTCTGAAAAAAACCGGTAAAATTCGAAATTTGAAGAAAAGCAATATTGTTGACTCAGTTGGTTTCTTGTATTTAATAAAGGAAACAAAAAGTTATTTATTTTTCTTGGGTTCCCAGTAAATATTTTTTTTATTGAACTGGGCATAATTGACTTGTGATAAGATCGATTATAATGTCTTGAGGAATGTCGGTTAATAATAACGAATCATACCTGATTAACAATATACAGCTGCCGGACTGTGCAGTAGATATATAGAAATCTGTTATCAGTCTGTTAGATTATTCGAGCCGTGAACGTAAAATTGCTAACAAAAGTTTCTTTTCTTGTTTTCCTAATATTTTCTTTGTCATATACCGACCCAAACTTTACGCAGATACGATTTCTCCCACCGGCCATGACTCAGTCCGGTAGCTGTACTAATTTTAATACAATCAATTCTTCGAGGTGAAGAGATAGTCCTGAATTTTCATTATTTTCCATAACATCTAGATTCCAAAAATATATTATTTTCTTCTTCTATTTTCTTCTTCATCTGTAATTCAGGATCATCGTTTACGGAAATTGACAAATATTTTTGTAGTAGTTGTCGATATGAAAATTCTCAAAATCTTTCTCAAATGTAAAAGTGCTGCCTTTTTTCACAAATATTTCAAGGGTTTTCTAGCTATTCGAATATTTTCCAAATGGTTAATGTAGTTAGTCGTATATAAAGAGTACGTGTGTGAAGGTAATATAAAAAAATGTATTTCATTGATTGGTTAGTAATTACTCAGATTTAATCGATAGTTGAAATGAAATACCATATTTGTTCGATTGATGACCCATTTATTTTGTAGAAATTCATATTGAATATAGGATGAACAAAATAACTTTTGTCTGATTTCTACTAAGTTCTTTCCTATATTCAAAATACCAGATCAAATTAAATCCAAACAGAAAGACACCAGTACTTCGTGATGTAGCTTTGTGTAGCATATAAACTCCCAATTCCTTTGAAGTCTTCTTGATTTCTTGTTATTCAAGATTTTCAATTAAGATGCTCATATTGATTAAATATTGAGTAATATTCTGAAGGTCCAAGAAACACCAAGCCACTGTGCTTTTTATGCATGTCACACCTGACACTTTCTACACCACTTTCGTTTTTTTTTGCTCAAAGTATCAACTAGTTACATTGCAGAATGTATGCCTATAGTGTATGCTGAAAAATCATCATGAGAAGAAATATGATTTTCGAAAAAATTCTCATTTAGATAGTACCGGAAATTTATAAAACAAAAAGTTATGCAAGATGATCCAGAACACGAACATTTTCTGCACCATAATGATTTTTCTAATAAAACACATGCATTTCGTTCTCATTTCAAGTTTACGAATTATAAGGTAAGTTCATATTTCATTAAAGGCCTGCTTCGGAAATTATGTTGGGTTCCTATTTCAGAGTTGTGGTGCTGGGTACATAGAATCCAAAAAATTCAGAATAATGAGTCTCAATTTTTGATTTATGTAATATGTTAAATTCTCGTCTTGAGGTTCGTCATTCTGGATAAATTTGTTCTATTCGAAAGAATAACCTTTCAACACTTTTCTCGAATTATTTTCCCAAAAGAATGCTTAGTATCTGCTTCTTTTATGAAAATCGACACCGCTTTGAATTTTGCTTCAAGCCCCCTTCACTGACAAAGGAGAGGTTGCTTTTTGAGGTTTATTTGGGTTTAATTTGTGTTGATTTTTTTGCCAGAATACATTTTGTTATTTGGTTGAGTAACTGTTGAAGCAATTGATAGTAGAGCAAACATTTTTGTTGAGTTTAGTTCACAAGCAAACAAAGGTAGTTGAATAAATCACACACAGAATAAAGATCTGAGGAAAAAAGTCACTCAGATCTTTGAGGTGACCAGTTCTCAATACTTTCGGCACTTTTGAAACTATATATTTGAAAATTAAATACGAAATTCTGATATTATGTGTATTGAGAACTCATCCTTCACTAATTATTATACAATTACATTCATGTTTTGTATCTCTTCACAATATGTCTGAATGAAACTAGCGAAATGTTTTCATATATTACTTTTATAATAAACTTCCAGAAAAATTATATTTCATACTTGTTTCTGAAGAGTTCTACATTAATTTATCTTCCGAACTAACATTGAATACATACTTATTAATGACCTCAGCAGTATGAAGATGTTAGTATCTGTCTGCAATATTCAATCTGATATTGAATATGGATAAATGAGCTGAATTTTCAGATTTATTTATATTGGATTCATGGTGACTACATTCTCGACACTCACCATTGGAAAGTCGGAGTCAGAAAAAGTTGATAAAGCATTAATTGAAAGAAATAAAAGAATATTCCAAAATCAAGATGAGATAATGATTCGAAACAGATTATACGATCTATTCAAAAAATCAGTATTTTTGAATAGGCACCAATTTCTTTGTTCTATTCTATGTTGAAATATCCAATATTTCAGTTGGGTATTGTTTTTTTAATTTTTTTCAGGGATTTCAAATCAATTTATAATATATTAGACAATGGAAGTCCGAATTGATGAAATACACCACGAAACATTATCAACCACCTTCAAATAAGGGTATTGTATTTGTTGATTTATTCCAAAAATAACTTCATTGTAAAAACTGACGTATTTCATAAATGAAGAAAGAAATTATTTAGCTGCGAACTTGAACGTCGCCGGTTTCATTCTGATGTAGCAAAAATGAAAGAATAATCTTTTTAGTAAATTTTGGAAATTAATCTTCTTTATACTGTTGCAGTTCCTGAATATGGCCAGCGTATTTATGAGGATATTCAATTTGATCTGCATGATGCTACTTATCGGACACTGGTCAGGATGTTTACAATTTTTAGTTCCCATGCTTCAAGGATTCCCACCTAATTCTTGGGTTGTGATCAACGAATTACAAGTAAGTTCATCTATTTTGAATTGAGACTGATGTCGTAGTAATGAGAGAATTTCCCTTTCTCAAATAAGAATATGAAAAATAACAAATATCTTCATCATGTTTATATTTAATTCACAACCAAATGAAAGTAGTAATCATAAATGTAGAGTTATATATCTCAAAACAATCGAAACTAAATATACGAAATATTAAGCCGAAATAAAAAATGTATCTAGAAAATATGATGAAGTAGTATTAGTACAAACTTAGAGCAGAATATAGAAAGTAGAACTGGAATATGTATGATTATCGTGCTATATTTTCATGATCAAGCATATTCATGCAATTTCTTTGAACTATGTCGTCAGATAGTAGTCTGTTTTCTAAGAAACTCCCAAATTGTTTTCCAGTACAGCTTAACACAAATTCAGCCATCATCACCCAGGAGCAAAGTCAATTTTTATTTTCTTGGTTACCAAATAGGAGCGTTTTCATGACCTCTGTAGTTTGAAACAAATTCTCTTCTTCGTTTGGGGTTATATAACTAAAAATCATCTTCTTGGCTGAACTCTGTATCCGCAACTTTCTTTCCTTACAGTTTATTTATTCAGTAAATGGAAATCCGTAGACGTTGTAACGTGAACTCATTGACTCTTTCTATCCATTTCCTAATGGTAGGTCTGAAGATAGTCTTCTCTCTTTCAATCATTAATATCGACGAAGAAAAGGCTGTTGCTTTGTGCTAGGAGAAATGTGTTGTACATGTATTTTTAGTTTATGTGCTTGCATCAATTTCTGTTACAGAACTGACCCAATAATTGATTCCTCAATGAAATACAATTCTGTAGACATTCCATAACTAGCAGCCATATTATTCCCAACAAACCCGGTTGCATCATGCTTGAAGACATACTGTCAGGTAGATCCAACTCCTCTGTTGAGTCAGATTCGAATCAGTTTCTCATCATCTTCTTTCTAGATTGGTCACATCTCATCCATGATTCATAGATACGGCCCCGATGTTTGAGTTGTTGTATATATTGATTAGTAAATTTCTCACTCAAATCACCGATCTCTAGCTGGCAGTGCATGGCCCTCGATGACGGCTCATCGGAGATTTCAGAATTTCACCTGATAATGTTCTTGTTACTGCTAGTAATGGTGGCCTTATTGAGATGGATATAAATATATTGCAAAAGAGAGCCGTTCAGTTCGGAATGTAGTCCTTCTGTTTGTCCCCTTGTTCGTCCAGTTTCTTGTTCATTTTCTTTGTGCCTTGTGCTATCTTTCTGTGTCACCCGAGCGGTTGCATTCTCTTTCATCTCTTCCATGGTCCGTTCATTGATCTAGCCCAATCGGTTTTCGATTTTTCGATTTCTCTTGCTCGGCCGCTGGATATCTGAGTTGAGGTCTATTCTATGTGGACCTCATCTCAAATCTTGTATATTTCACTGTTTTTTTGTTCTATTTTCTCTATGAGACCTTGAGTTATTTCGTTTACTTGTTGGACTGACTGTTCCTCTAGTCGAGCTATCGCTCTAGTTTCACTTTTTTTCTTTCTTGTTCCTTCAATTCTTCTTTCCTTATACTTTAATGTTACCCAAAATGTTTTTGCAACATCTTCTGCTCTTCTATTTGTTGCCCTTTTTTTATTACCTATTCGAAATTTGTACAAAAATTTGGCGAACTTTTCAGCTGTATTCTGTATAATTCTAAGTAATATTGAAAGATTTTTTCTATCCGCTTGAAAATTCAACCATTTTGCAAAACTAACAATTTTCAAATTTCATGTTTTGATGTTGTTGGCTCACTTGATCTAAAGTTTTTCTAGAACCACAACTTGAATTTGTCCGTAAAATCTCTATTATACTATATTGCACTATAATTCAAATCAAGAACAGTAATGGACGAAGCACGAATAAGAAAAATATTTCTCATTCTAGGAAGCCTCCTGGCTGGAACAGTATTCCTGGGCACTCTTTAAGGCGATGTCCCATATGCTCTGCATAGGATACGGCAGGTTTCCACCACAGTCTCTGACGGATATGTGGCTAACGATGCTTTCCATGATATCAGGAGCGACTTGCTACGCCTTGTTTCTCGGCCACGCCACTAACCTTATTCAGAGTTTGGATTCTTCTAGGAGGCAGTATCGCGAAAAGGTAAAGAGTCCTGCAAGGCACCACCATTTTTTTCATCAATTGAAAGGAAATATCAATATAGTTTATCATGCGAATAGGTGTAAGTTAATTTACAGGAGGTTCATGGTTAACCAAATGTAGTAAGTTAAATCCAGAATCAATTGAGATACATTTCGAATTCAAATAAAAATTAAATTTTGATACATTCATAACGTAATAAATATATAAAACGAATCAAATTCCCCTGATTTTCTACACTAAAAGAGTTGTCCGATCACGAAGGTTAAGAATATTAGCAGGTTCACAGAAATTAGTATTTTACTTCTTTGTTTACGAAATAGGTTGCAAATGCATAGAATTGTACTCAATGATATTATGGAAACTGTTAAAGCATCTGACCTTTGCTTTTTTTGAGTTAGTTTGGTTCAAAAAGAAAAACAAGTGGTTCATAACTTGATGATAACTTGATGTCCTAGTAAGATGATATTCATGACTCCAAATAAAATGAATAATCGTTCGATAGAATTGCTAAGGTGTATTCCAAATGTTCCTCGTTTCTAAGGAGCTGACTATGCTATTCCAGTAGTATGATTGTGCCAAGATTGTACCCAATTCAACACCCAACAAATCAATTGACGCAGCTAGCAGAAATGTGTCATGATGTCAGGGTATATCACAATCACCTATAAAACTGATGTTTGGATATCGATGATCGCTTGAGATGTTCAAACATTTCAAATATTTAAAAATTCGTACATGATTTTAGATATCACTGGTCGTGAAGCAACTGGTCTTTAGATAGTTGAAACATTTTTCTGATACTTTTCTAGTATACGTTGAAACTCAAACAGTCTTCAAACAAAATGCTCCTTTGTAAGTCAAGAACACTGATGCATGTTGGTTAGCGCATTTTTGAGTGCAATTACAGGTACTTCATTGAAACCACAGGCTATGTTGATGTTGAGCTGTTTGAGTATTTGTCTATACAGCGTGACTCACGGTCGATGGTAGCTTAGACGTTTCTGGAAAACGCAAAGCATGATTTTTCTGAAAATTTCACCTCTCACATTTCCTTACTAGTCACGCTGTATAATGGCTTATGGGTCATCGAAGCCATTTGATATTGTGTACATTGAATTCGGTGAATGTAGATATTTTTGGTCTAGGATAATTGATTTGCAAAGTTACTAAAATCGTACCTTGTATTGTGTATCGCCTGTAAATAACGAATTTAATGTTTTTTGTGGTTTATATCAAATATGACCTCAAAGTTTTGAAAATATTGTTGTCAACAACAAAGAACAAAGAGAGAAATAACATAATTTTGTCTAAATAGGCAGAAAGCTCTCTGAATTTCGATTCCTATAGCAACTGCAGTTTCATGATGTTTCCTGTATGCCGATGGTATATGCCTAACCCGTTAAAATGGTATCTTAAGGTGCGATGCAAGATGAGACCCAGTATGTGCAATTTATTTTTACTAGAGAATACTCTCCAGTATATTCCCCACTGTTAGGGTAGATAATGGTGACTCACGAACTTATGTTCGTGAGTCTTTATCTGAGTTGATCCAACTAGCACCATATGATAAGTCCACTACAAGTCTCCTGAAGAGTGATGTAACCTGCACTCAGGACATTGTGGAAACACTCTGCTAATTAAAAAAAAATCTGTTCAAAATCTGTTTTTCCGTTAACCTGCTGTCGCACCCCTACAAACGACAACCCTCAGGAGTCGAAACTTGTGCGATCTACGGATTTACGAGGTCTTACCTTTTAACGTGTGATTCCTAACACTTGTTGGACGATAGCAAGTGACAATCGATCGTTCAGACTAGGGCTTGAACCACCGACCAACACGGCAGTCAATTCGAGTGAGTGACGACGCATTCGCGTCGAACCGCCTGGCTACCGACCTGCCTATTGCTTATGAGAACATAGGTTTTCACGATTGAAGAGAACAAAACCGGGCTAGTAGGTGGTGATCGAAATAAAACCTAAAGTATCAAATGTTTCGCCTACTATTGCGTCAGACATCATCGCTGACGTATGCGATGTCTGCAAGAACGAAGTCTCAGTAACGACTGACAGTCAGTCGTTGGCAATGGATGACTGAGCTTTCAAGATATAACCTTGGTTCTCGCAAACAACACATATGCCTCCGATGACTTTTGTCGCAGTAATAAACAAACAATTGGTACTTCAGATTCCATTCGACCACGGCCTAGCAGCTCAGATTTTGTTCTCTTCAATCGTTTTCTCTTGCTGGTTTGAAATTATGTGTCAAACTATTTACTTTATACAGCACAAGCAAATTCAAATGTATAATGAATCTGACGAAATCATGTTTTCGTGACCTGAAAAGAACGATTCCATTCCACATTTCCACTAAAGAAAATTTGCGATTTTGTCAGGTTCTTTTCAGGTATTGATTTTACGATGATTCTATTCCATACCTGCCTTCAGAATGTCAACAAAACGTTTTACGCATTTTCCTAACTGTACCAAACAGGTCAAGCAAGTCGAGGAGTATATGGCTTACCGCAAGTTGCCGCGAGAGATGCGCCAGAGGATCACCGAGTATTTCGAGCATCGCTACCAAGGCAAATTCTTTGATGAGGAGTGCATCCTGGGGGAACTCTCGGAAAAGCTCCGCGAAGACGTCATCAATTACAACTGCAGGTCTTTGGTTGCTTCGGTGCCATTCTTCGCCAATGCAGATTCCAACTTCGTGTCCGATGTCGTTACTAAGTTGAAATATGAAGTCTTCCAACCTGGTGAGTAAAATGTACTGATTGTCGTTGATTTTGTATTTTACTACTATAACCGTGAAAAAATAACTTTTGATTTTTATCAATAGTTACTGTAGTTACTGTATTATATTTCTTGAAAAATGTTGAATCCGGAACAAAGCCGATATTCCTCACGATAAAGCAATTGAAACCCTATTTCGGTTCAACCGGAACTGAATCTAAGTCAAGAATTGTATATTTTTACAGATTATGTGATGGGATATAAAATTTTCTTTTCGATGATATAACACAAGTAACTATTCATCGTCAACCGCTTGATGTAGTGGGAAACAAAAGACAGAATTTCCGGATAAAATTCAAGAATTGAAGTTTTCACCGATTCAATACCACTAAAAAGTTGGCACAAAGGTGAAAATTGACTGAACAACCGCAACTGCCTTTCCTGTATCACCAGATCAAGAGCAAGAATCTAGGAAGCTAGTTGGTGCAGCCAGGAAGCGACTTTCCGCCTCAAGAGCAGGATATCTCATGAATCTGCCCTGCACCTAAATTTTTGAGCAGCAGTATAAGAATCTGCATCAAGAGAAGAAACAAACTTCCACTGCGCCGGTCAGCAAACGCTTACGCTCAAGCGATGTTTCGCCCAAACCATTGGCAAAAAAGATCTGCATGAATGGGAAGGTTAGAAATTTTGCACTTTGAACATTCGACCTCAATATCGACCAATCAATAGGAATATATTCAAATCATTATACACAGTTACGATCCTATAGCTACACATTACTGCCTGTATGGCTACAAGTTTCCTGAGAGGATCAGGATGGCGTCTCCAGACTAGTTGATGCATAAAGCACCCTGCTGCCATAGAGATTGCCTCCCTGTAATGTGTCGCAGACCTACTTCCTAACCACAGTTGATTACCTACAGCCGATCAGACACACTAGATTGAGAGAAATGTACCATGGTCTGTCAATCTTAAATGTGATAATATATAACACATGGGAACCTGGTTCGCATGAACCATGTTCGTCATTTACATTTATTCGGTTTACCGGCAGGGCGTACCAAGTTCGTCTGCGTATGGAGGAGGGGAATCGTTGTTCGCTGTTTTCCCCAGTGCTTGTGTTGATATGGCGAAAAATAACTAAGTTTCTTCCAGTAGCTAGGTAGAGAAGTGTAGAAACGAGACGATGTTCGGCCAATATCGACTTTTTCATGTGAGTTGTTTTGATATGTAGGGTGTCACAAGTTTCAATAAATAATTGAATTCTGTTTCGGTCATTGTTGAATAATTTGTGTAATATGTCGCACTGTTCTCCCTAAACTGATATTAGAGATTGAGGTGAGACCACATCTCTCACGAAGCCACTGCTTGGTTCATTGCGATCTATTCTTCTTCTTTCTTGTAATGAAATTGGTGAAATGGCGAACCGTTGTTTACATTTCCCATCACTGGGTTCGACGAACCATGTGTGTAGTCCGCTATAGCAGAGCGCATACTCTGAATCCACCAAACAAATCAGCTTCGTTGATAAACTGGATTTACTTGTTTGGCTTTGAATACGCCTGAGCCACAATAAAACCTCTAGGGCTGCACGTGTCGCAGTTTTCATAAAACCCATTATAGTAAAAATCGTACAATAAAGCAATAAAATTCACACTGAAAATAACGAGATCTTATCCTTTGACGTGCAATTTCTAGCACAAAGAGGAAGAGGAAGAATTTTCCATGAGGATCCAATACAAATCACTCATCATAAATGAAACAGGAACGCAATGGAAGCTTCTGGAGCTCAGTATGGCAAAATTCACTCTATGTTCGTTGAAATGGGTCTTGTCTGACACTATATTTTTATATTTACTTACATAGAATATTGATGATCTACTTTCGAAACAACCACTTTCATGTAAACATTGAATTACAGGAAAGAAAAAATGCTTCCGAAGCAACTTCTTTTATACAGGGCCTTCCAATGAAAACTTGACCTCCCCTGTACGTCAGAAACGGACATGTAATCGAAAATTTTAGTATGAAATAAACTCTTGGATAAGTAGGTTCAGATGGTTTTTTATTTATTCTGTTTTTGCGCATTGTGTTCCTTAAATGTAGTACATATTTTCCAATATGTAGTAATAAATCAGAATATTTATTGTCTACGTAATGGAATGCCAATGATCCAAAAGCCTCAAAATGGCTTTTTTATAGTGGGACACAATTTATGTATTCCGTTAACTTATCCGTAACGGTAATACGTGACACTTTGCTATAAACAGTTCAAACATTGCAGCTATTGTCTCTTCATTGGTTCTATCGGGCAGCGCTCTAGTGGTAACCGATCTCATAAGCAGCTGTTATTTTCATAAGAAAAAAGCAAACTGTTACTGATACTATTGGAATATATATTGGATTTCTCCATTTGAGCCAAAGTACCGAATCAGCAGTTATCATAAAAAACCTTCAATCATCCGAGGATTATTGTTTGTTGTTACGCCAACTTAATATTTTATGTTTTTCTCGATATTTTTAACGATAAGTTAACGCTCTGTACTTGTTTCAGGTGATATTATTATAAAGGAAGGAACGATCGGTTCCAAAATGTACTTCATACAAGAGGGCATTGTCGACATAGTAATGGCCAACGGAGAAGTAGCGACTAGCCTCAGTGACGGCTCCTATTTCGGAGAAATTTGCCTGCTGACCAACGCCAGAAGAGTGGCATCCGTCAGATCGGAAACGTACTGTAACCTCTTCTCTTTGTCCGTCGACCATTTCAATGCGGTACTAGATCAATACCCGTTGATGCGTCGCACAATGGAATCGGTGGCCGCGGAGAGGTCAGTGCGTTGGTTGGTATAAAGAAGCCTGGAGAGGTTTCATTTCAATTATGTTCGTTTTATATCGCTTGTTTGCTGTGTGCTCTCATCTTTCTTGGTAAAATGTTTCACTGGTTGTTCAATGCAGTACAGATAATATTCGGTCAATTGTATCCGTTAAGTAAATAAAAACTCCTTTTAGAACGAGATCCGGAGAGCTACAGGTATCTGTCAAAAAAATAAAACTTGATTTCAATTAAAGAAGCATGATGATATCTAAAAAGCTACAATTGTTATTGAATTATGTATAATGTTCCATATATCATATAATAATAAATTAATAACAATAGAAAAGTCATTGGTTCTCAATCGGTCGCAACCTCCTGGTTACCAGGTGTAAACAGGTATTACATTGTTACTTTGTGTTCTGGAAATTATATACAAGCTTATTTGTTCAATAACACAAGGTTGCCTGTGAAATAATGGTCGCAAGTAGTGGTTGCTATCTTTTGAATTAACTACTCGGCCTTCGGATAACCGTGCGTTATCCGGGACCCTTAATATTGTTTCTGATATTGCATACTTAGACAAATTTGCTTCACTCCTTCCAAAATACAAAACGAAAGACTTCTGACGTCGATTGGGAAAGACCTCACGATAAAAGGTGTTCTTAGAAAAAAATTTAACTAGTAACAGTTTTTTAAAAGAAAAGAAGATAAAGATGAAGGAAAATTTTACCAACCCGTTGAATGAAAATTTAATAAAATAATAAGTGGAAAGAATTTAATTCTATTCAGTCATTAAGTGAATTTTCAAAACTCCTGAGTCTACTAATTTCTAAGTAATCCCAAAAGATTGAATTTCAAACCTTTCACTTCAAAATGTAAAACTCATTCTTTGAAGTGCTTTGAAGTTATTGAATGACCACATATAATTGAAAAATGATAAATCTGTTTAAAAATCTGTTTTTCCGTTAACCAGCTGTCGCACCCCTACGAACGACAACCCTCAGAAGTCGAAACTTGTGCGAGCTAAGGATTAACGAGGTCTTACCTTTTAACGTGTGATTCCTAACACGGGTTGGACGATAGCAAGTGAAGATCGATCGTTCAGACTAGGGCTTGAACCACCGACCAACACGGCAGTCAATTCGAGTGAGTGAACAAAGCACCCACGCCGAACCGCTTGGCTACCGATAAATGTGAAAATTTATAGTTAGGTTATTACATTTTCTATTAATGGGTTTTCAAATTTTCTTAGAAAGCTCAGAAAGAATGATTAATCATTAAGTAAGTAGAAGGTCATGGGAATTAAATTGTTATTATATAAAGCACAAATTGTACGTACATGTCCTAATTGGATACGTGTTGCGGTTTTGTAAACTGTCTAGTGAAAATATCACAATAAAGTGTTACTTGAATAAGTTATGGATTCTCATCAAGTATTGACCAATTCCATTACATATAATTCAATCTGAATTCAAACAAACCTTCCGCAACTGCAACTTTTGATTATGCAGCAGGTCTATATTACATTTAATATCCATACCAACATATTTTCATTATGTTGATGATTCTCATCATGTCAGTTTCTTTTTGTACCGAATAAATCATATTTACTGCATTTCACAATCACCCTGAAGAATATTGGGAGTGTATCGATCCATGATCTGAATAGATACGAATGATAAAATCAGATCTTGTGTTCAAAAACTCCCATCATTTCACTGACCTATCCACTTCTTTCATATTTCATACTTTTGTTGGTACTTATATGACACAACTAACCCGACTATCATTTCTCACCTCAACTCAGTAGGTTTTGGTATTTCCTCTTTTTGTGTGTTTACCATATTAAACTCTCAACTAATATAGTGATGACTAGTGGCGTTTAAGATTAACATTTGACATTGCGTATGTAGCTTGATGTGTACAGAGTATAGCTAGTTTTGCTGATTTTGGCTGACGAAACTAAAATTATTTTATTTTTTCCAGATTTTGAAAAATATTCAAATTAATCTATTAAGTATCAAATTTCTACCGTGCCGTAGATAAATCTAATAGCGAAGAGGTATCTCGAAAGTAAGTTGTTACAAGTGGACGGTTCAGTATAATCTGAATTTGATTGGCGGATCAAGGATTGATATCATTCGCTATAGTCCATCACGAAAACGTAAATTATGAATTATTCGAAAGCATTAATCTTCTAGTACGATCCACCAGTAATTTACTTCGGTGCCCAACGTGGGGCAGCAATAGTTGAACTCTATTTGAAATAGAATATATAGTTTCTGTGGAATAGGTTGTTGATGATAGATTCCATTATCTACTTCTTTATCAATGTGTAATTGTATGTAACCTGCAATCTCTGAAAAAGCGTTTCATGCAACCCTTTCTCTTCCAATCAAATTTTGAGTTCTACTAATCAGTTATTGGTAAAGTGGATATTTACGAAGAAACATAACCCATAGCATGTGCTTGGGCAATTTCCTTTATTTCCTTGAATAGTTTAAATTCATAATATACTTTTTACCATATAGATCTTCCACTAAATATTGGTTATTAGTTAGAAATAAATGACAAATATTTCTTTTGCATTATTATGATACCTATAAATGAAAATAAAAGATATAGGTATTCAAAACCACAATTCACAATTATTTACTGGAAATCCCATTAGTATGCTTCTATATCTATCGTTCTGAAAATAGAGGTGAACCTTATAGGTAAATTAAACCCACCCGAGTTCACTTAACAGAGAGGAAGCAAGTATCTCAAAATAACGTTGAATTTGAATCGCTGTCTATTGTAGTCCTATAGAAACATTTCTAGAACAGGGACACAAACTCACAACCTTTTTTGATATATTAAACAAATTCCTTTGTTGTGTTCAGATAACCAATGAGTTTTTTCACAGAAGTCAACAACTCAGTATATGTACATATTATGTAATATTCTGAAGATGGTGTAATTTTGGTTGTGTAAAGTATTGAAAATTGTTAAATGTATAATTTCCTCAATTTGAATTCTTAATAATTCTATACTACTAGACACTCCAACTTTAAAATAATACGTCTGTGATACATTGATCAGTTGCCATTGTATCTGTCGTTTTTCTGGATTGTTGATTGTCGTTCTTTTTGAGCGAGTTTCTCAACATTCCCCAACACGAGTGTCTGACATCGTCAGAATAATTACGGCAGATAGCCAACTTTAAAGCCCTTCTTCGATTCTTCTGCTTTGTAGAAGCGGTAACCTTATAAGTACAAGTATTCCGAAGTTGGATATAAGTATGACGAGATATTTCAACTGATAGATTTATCTGTTTCAAGTTCTACATGGTTAAAAATAGTGATGTATTTCTTAAGGCGTGGGCGCATGTTGTGACAAATGAATGAAAAAATGCAAACAATATACAAAGCATGATTCTCATATCCCAAGAAGTCAATGTCAATGAATAAGTTAAGTGAATTTTCAGTCCATAATGTGTATTAGAGAATTCCTAGTTCGAGTTATAATATGGTAAACAACACCACACACTAACACAGAGACACACAATAAAAGGCGATAGAAAACACATAATTGTTAAAACACAACACTCCTTAGTAGAAACACAATTTAACAATTTAGGGTGTGCTGTCAAAAAGTTCTGCTTTATGTTATATATTTCATTGATATTTTAAGTACCAGAAATCCGTTGAAACACAAGCAAAAAAATTAAATCAGAATTTTTACAGCATTGGGTTTCAAGTATAACGTTCAACACTTAAAGTACACATTGAGGGAATATACTGGTGTAGCTTTTCAAATTTATTTGCAACTAATCATTTCGTACTAATGTGTCAAAGATAGGTAGGCTTCGTTTTCAATAATAATATGTTTGCTCTATTTGATTTGATACTCGGTTCTTTCATGTATCTAAAAGTATCACATCTTATAATAGTTTCAATATTAGTTCTGCGAACTAAGAAAACACAGAAAGAGTTAATGAAAAACAATATTTCATTCGGTTTCGCACAAGTCATAACACTAGAAATGAATTGGACATTTTTTTACATTGATTTGAACTAGGTACCACTGTGAAAATCGATTGCAGTTAATGAGCTTAAGTGCCCGGAGAGTAATAGTGTTTATGTGGGACAATGTGGCCGAAATTTCCAAAAACGGTATGCTAGACATGAAAGGTCCTTCAGACTAGGAAAAAATATTCGACGTTTTCAAACCATTCCTTGGCATGCAACCACAAGTTTCCGAATCTAAACGATACGGAAATTCTGCACTATGCCAGGAAGGGTTGCAAATTCAATTATTTAGAATCCTGGGAAATCCACAAGCATAAACATTGCGGTTGCAACCTGTTAAATGATCAAATCGATTTAGTTTACTCGCCGATTTTTAAATTGACACATCCGCATTGTGAACTGTAAATTCAGGTGCTTAATCAAGTCAAGTGCTCTATTTCTAGTAGGTATATAATGGCGAATGTAATGAATCATTGTTAGTTTATTGTATAAGTTTGAAAATGTCCGTATTGGACGAAACTGCAGTAACGTTAGTTACAAATAAAAGTGATAAAAAACATAAAGTTTCATTCTAGACTTTCTTTCAACGCGGCTAATATTCTCAATCCAGTTGCTTTCTGATCTTTCATATGAATTCTTTTACCTTTGTGATCAGTGACTAAACTAGTAGATATTCTACACAATGTTCGTGATTCTCAATTCAGACATAGATGTTAGCAAAGTTCAGCTTTCTTTAAAATAAGGATTTCTCTATCTCGGCGATGTTCAGTGTTTCGTCACAAATCATTGCGAGCACCTATCGATGTGAGCAAGAATGTGTTCGTGATCTTTTGGTATGTAAACTTACTTCTTCAAATCGTTTGATGTTGCTCTTTAAACGGCCAGAACTCTTTGACGTTGGAGGTTAATTATGCTTGGCTAATTTCTCAATGCACATTTCACCAGTCAGTTTGGTGTCACCAAGAGCATCTAGAAAAGGATTCTCACTGTTTTGTTGTTTAGGACAACTTCGTTACGATTGGGAGTTTTTGTAACTAGGATATGATATGGTAGGATATGGTAGGATATGGAAGTAAATAAATAACTATGTGAAAATAATCTTACTCTTCAAACTAAAGTCACATTACAGGTCTCGGACAAAACAAGACGATTGGCAGAAATAAGTAGGTAGTTTGTTCGGTCCTTTGAAATCTATCACAAAAATAAATATACAGTTGATTTTTTTTAACATTTGTAATAGACGTGAAACAGTACCACCAATTATGAAAATAATCGGAATTCTTAGTATATATCAGGTGATAACTTCATTAATATTAAAAAAAATCTGTTAAATCTGTTAAAATCTCTTCAGATTTTAACTAGCTATCACCCCTCTACGAACGACCACTCTCAAAAGTCGAAACTTCTGCGAGCTGAGGACTAACGAGGCCTTACCTTTTAACGTGTGATTCCTAACAGGTCATATTCTATCGGAAATTGTGTATCTCCAAAAAATCTATCAAGAATTCCAAAGTAGTGGAGTAAGTTTCAAACCAGATTTGTCATTGAATTTTTGAACTCAAGTAATATTTTTTAAAGGACAGTTATATCACAATTGATCAAAAATTTAGATAATATAATTTTTTTGAACTGAAAGCCTACCATTCTTTCAAACATTAGTAACAACTGTATCTTTCTTCCACTCATGTACTTTCTTCTACAGGCTAAACAAAATAGGCAAAAATCCAAATCTATTAGCGCACAGAGAAGAAGACCTAGGCAGCGAAAGCAAAACAATAAATGCTGTAGTAAACGCATTGGCAGCAGAGGCAGATCATGTAAATATGTCGGACGAATCTTTAGCCAGGCTGCACGCCAGTGACAGGAGCTTACAAGAAATAGGCTGGAACTTGCAAAAACTCACCCTACCCAGACCCAAATCTGAAAACAACTTCGCCTCGCAGGAGATGTCTCTCACGAGAGTTGGCGAACACAACGGAAGGATATCCTTCCACAAATCCGATACTTTTCACAAGGAGTCGAGCCTACAATGACGACACTCCACGCACTAGTGCTCAGTGTTGTCAGCTCAACTGTGTCAAATGCCAGTGCTAACTGTCGCAACTGCTGCACTGGCAATTCGCACAGACCACCATTGAACTGACCATACACTCGACTAGTGCGTGTGAGAGCAGCTTCGCTGTAGACGTCTTTTATTGAAGCAATAAGTGAGAGGACACTTTGCTAGAATTGTGCAATATTAGAACTAACAGTTAAGTTTAGCTTTAATAATTTAGGTGCTCAACAAATTTATATATTGGATATAACAACCACACAAACCCGGTTTTTGGGTACTATTCTCGAATTTCTGCCTGACATTTTTTTTATGTGCATATGGTGTTTTTTCTTACTTTTCACATATGTATCTTCCAAAGTATGTAGTGTTTCAAGGTTTCTAGAAATGTAGGGTACTACTTGAATACTGTTCCCATGATCACTGTGTGCTGCTATTTTTTATTGCCAATTCATAAGTTCAACTTTTAGTTGTAATTTCAATTTTTTCAAAAGATTTTATCCTTTCCAAGAAACGTCTTTTGAAAAATGTTCAATTTATTCAGAACATTACTATAATAAAATAACCCAACATTCAAGAAAATGTATCCATTCCACATTCAAATTTGGAAATAGGTACTTTTCTACCTACTCGACATATGCATGTATACACACACAGTAAAAAATCAGTGAAAATCCGAACTTTGAACTTATTACAGCTGCTCGTCAACTGAAAATATTTTTAAACATTCAATATTAGTAAAACATACAATATAAAACTAAAACTAAAAAATGTATTTATTAAAAAATCACCTTGAAGGATGATTCTTCATAGTTCTAAATGAATGCTATCTTAGCAAAGTGAGCAACTCATACAACGATTTTTTAATGGAAAGCTATAAGTTAAAGGTCAAAAATTTTAATTACGAACCAATAACTTGAAAGATTTTACACGTTTATAGAACAATAACGTCTTGATTATTTGTATACATCATTTTCCTGATATTTTCACAAATCAAACTACTACTATCAAACTCCTATATGTGAACAAGTAGTACATAATCTTGTTTCTGTTCTTTTTCAAATCCATATTGAATAGTCAGTAATCAATGAAATATCAGTCAGTCATTATGGAAAGTAGTACCCTTCAGAATACTCATTTTTCTATTTATTTCCCATTACCTACTTTTCAATTGTACATATAAAATAAACTACAATTCACATAAAAATAAAGCATGGTTACCCTAAAAATATATGAAATTTAAACTGAAAAGCAAAGAAACTTCAGGAAATGCACCGAATGTGAAGAAAATACTAAGTTTCAAAATTGTTTAAATATTTTGGAAACAAGCAATATGAAAGACTTTACTTTTTTATTCGCTTTCGATTTGACAGAAGTTTGTGAATTATGACCAAAGCATGTTAAAACAAAGCTCAAAGACATACAGGTGGTTCTTGTCTTTGTCTTCTGTTTTTAATGACAATGTAATATCCGTATCACTATTCATTGGAAATCATATTTACGCTCAAAAAATATTAGCAAACAACAACTCATAATTCAATGGGAAAGTTTCAAGAGCAGTATGACTTTCCAATAGATATTGTATACCAAATACTCTTCCACCTCTAACAACATTAACCCCGATTTGGAAAATTATAATATATAAGTCTCACATGCACTTCTACTTCAGGATCTTGAACCATATAATGAACAATATGAAAATTTTCTGGCGAAGCAAAGTAGATTGTCCAAATGGAATATATTCCTCGATACTAACAACTAAAATATTTGTATATACGTTTTATTCCATTATTGAAATTGAATAATCATGAATTGGAATTTCTCAGTTGATTCAAAATAGAAATATATTACAATTGCTCAATTTGATGATGGAATGTCAGAGACGATTCATTTCGAAATTGGAATATGCCATGGATTACATCTGTATAAATTATATAAACTCCCAAATATTCACCTACTGAGCAGGTAATGAGATAATTGCGATTAAATTTCGTTTTGAAAGATCAGCCTAAAAAAATTATATGAACTTATATGTACACCGAAAAGAGCATAACCGTAACAAATTCGAAAATTGAAAACATCAATTCGCCTTATGAACTGATGAGTTATTTAAAGTTGCTCAACAAAATTGATTATTATTTGATAACATAAAATACATGTTCATACATAGGAAATCAATGTTAACTCATTTACTTTAGCCAAACTTGAGCAGGAATTCCAGAAATCTTGATGATTGCTAATATTTCACCATTTGACGAGTAACTTCCCTCACATTTGTTTGTGCCCATATGATAAATGTTATAGTTATTAGTTTTTAGTTTTCAGTTACAAGTTATCAGTTTTATTTTTGAATATTACTGGAGTAAAAATTCCAGTAATATTCATTACTACACCAAAGGTTCTAAACAGTGCATCACAAGTTTTATTTTTATCCAAATGGTATTTGACTCTTTCACTGACTTGCTTGTGTCCATATGACCAATGTTACAGTTTTCAGTTGTTAGTTGTCGATATTATTTAGTAATACTAATAAATTTGATGCTGAAAAAATGAGAAATATAAATATTGGGACACTCCTAGAAAAGTGTGTCCGTAGAAAAAGTAAACTTAGTTAAACTTTTTAAGGATTCAATCAAAAAAATAAAAAAATCAGTTATGAACAGTTATGGGCTCCCAGCATCTGCGTCCAATATCTACTTGTTAGAACATTTGCAAAAAGTTTTTATAATTTGGTCGAGTATGAACGACGAAAAATTCAATTTTCTATCGTTTTGAAGAGATAGAAAAATGACAGATCAATGCAACTCTTCGGAAAGTACAACATGAAAATATAAGTTTATCAACGTGAAAATAGCTAAAAACGTAAATGTGAATGGAGGGTGATGATGGATACATAGATAGTTGAAGAATATTCATTTCTATCCATTTTGTTGTGAAAAATAATTTGAAAATGCATGACACCTATCGGACTAGTAGATAAAATAACACAATAAATACAAATAAATCTTTCAATTATTGATAAATAGGTTATGTTGTTGAAAATTACTAGTGAAATCAAGTTTATAAAATCATCTATATATGAAGAAAGTGTTTCAACACATATTAAACAATGAGTATTACGAGTATTGCCCAAAGTATACACAACATTTCTCTATTAATTTTACAAAGATGCTGACGACTGATATTTAACAAAAAGAAAAAGTTGTAACTGATATCATGACAAAAACCACTCACTCATGCCAAAAACCACTCACAGGATTATTCTAGCTGAAAATCGTATAATTATAGGTTCACCAGTGTCCTCAATTTGTGGTTCTAGTATCAGCCAGGAATTGAGTTAATTATTGGACTAGATCACTTTGCGCTAAACTTGTTTTTGTTAAACTGTCTAATGAACTCCTTACATTTTGCCTTAAATGCACAAAGAATTGAACAAATATAGTTTTCCCCCTCAATTTTTCTGATGTATCGAAGAATGTTTTCGAGATAATTTTCGTTTATTAAGTCTTCAAAAGCGGTCAAGATCCTGACTTTGGAAGTTTCAACCAAGAACCGCGGTTTATCAGCACAAAACACCTGTTTGCTAAGATAAATGCATATATTTCCTGCAGGCGAATATATTAGATTATTAGAAAATTAGAACGAGCAAATTAGGCCTAAAGTTTATACAGACAAACTAATTTATTAGTTTGCAGGACCAGTATTTCGATGAGATCTGCTGCTCTGATGTGATTAGGAAAGATTTTAATACATTCAGGAGAGATTTCGGGTGACTGTTTAAGAGAAATGTAAAACTATTGCTAATAATTAAGAACAGTATTCAGATTGTTCACCTGAAGATCATTCCCTCTTCAGTAATTAATTTTTCCTTAGCAATAATTTCTATTTGTATTCAGGTGATCGATTTGGTTTATAACATAATTTAGGGAAATGATATTAAGAAGGGGACTTCACGCTAGCTGTGATCTACAATATGGATGTCTTATCATAACAATGGTCTACTCCTGATAATGTAAGTGAAAGATTATCAATTTTTTGTTGTTTAAGTTTGTTAAACGCTGACAGTGTGCTTGCAGTATATCTGTAAGAAGAATATTCCAAGTAAAAGCAATTTGTTATGCCATAATTATATGTTCATGTTTAAAAAAATCAAAATCATCGTAGTGCAATTATTAAAAGATAGTTAGAGTGTCAGGATTATTGAGTATTCAGCTATAAAATCTAGTGATATTTGGTTTAATATTGTACAGAGATTTTTAAAATGTAGATGACTGAAATATTAATAAAGGTAAAATCCATGATAGGTGACTTTTCTAAAATGATTCAATGTCAACTCGTTCATAACCAAATTATATTTCGTAAATTATGTTGTGTGTAAATTAATAATTCATTAATAATTCACATACGTTCTATTATAATTGTATTACCTGCTCATGCCTAGATGATTTATTCAACTGAAAATCGAATATTCACTAATACTTCCCAAAATCGAAGTAGTTTTGAATTGCACATTGTTTTAAAGGCCTATTTGAACGATTGCAATTGTCACTCTACCTCGTTGATGGTTTCTCAAAAATATATCAGAGATATAAAAAGATAATATTGCCAACTGGCAGAAATAATTGAAAGGATAATTCATTTCAGCAGTGAACTTAACATGCTCGTGTCCATTCGTAGCTATTCAGAATAGGTAGTTCCTACCTGACGAAGGACATAAATTATCTACTTAGCTTAACCGCCAACATCAGAATAATTGTTAAAGTATGTATTTTATGATGAAAAATATTCTACTTGTAAATCAAACGCTCAAAAATGTCTGCAATGGTGCCATTTTTACCGCTGATAGGACCAAAATTTAATCGCTAATAGCCAACATCGAAAAAAATTACGATAAACAATTTCTCTTGTTAAAATATTTCTTCGGCATAAGAAGCTATGCATGTCACAAAAATATGTTATTGGCGGTTATTTCAAAAATAATTACATTACACATAAAACAGAAATTTCACTCTCAGACTATCACAAAACTTGAATAATGTTTCCAGGGTATGTAGACATACTATTGAATCATTTCAGATAAAACCCAACATGTTATTTTAATTCTATTATGGTTGCAATGTTGCATAAATGAATAAATGGTAGATGTTTTAATTTAAGTAATTTATTGTGCGTTAAATCAGATTATGTAACGAAGGAATTTCGAAGCTAGAGTGATATTAATATACCATATTGAATTGTGTACATTCGTTTTATCATGGTGCAACATCAGTAGTACTTGAATCAGAATGTAAAAAGAAAAACGATATCAATTATATCA